TCCAAACAAATCATCCAAACAAATTCCAAACAAATCATCCAAACAAACTATAATAATCCAACCAAATCCAAATGAACTCTCCAAACAAATTCGAATGAACACTAACAAATCTAATTTCCCCACTCATCACGAAGTCTAGACCTGTCGGTGTGAGGATGTGAAGACGGACACTCATCCACAACATGATTTGGATCACCGCATCTAGTGCACTGTCCCCTATCCCTCCTGCGGCGTGACCAACGATCCATTTGCATGCGATATCGTCTCGTTTGCACGCGACCTGGTCCAGGCTTCAAGATCATCCTCTCCCAGTGTGGTATCAATTTCCACTCGACCGACGCCCATGTATCCGGATTACCAATCGGAGCAAAACTCCAATCACGAAATTGAGCTACCCAGTTCTCGGTCCAAAAATACTCACTGTACAACAGTTTTGGGTCGGTCTCAACTGAACGACAGACGGCTAACGCATGAGAGCATGGTTTCCGATGCGTCTGCCACTTCCGACAACTACAACGTTTTCGGTTGTAATCTACCTTATACCTGTAATAATTCTCCAGTGATTTATACATATACAATATGAAAAAATTTAAATTTAATGGACAAACAACAAAGTAAAAAAAAATATACTTACATGTTTTGCCCTCTTCCACTCGCCCGTAAACCGGTTTCCACTCCGTACATGGAGCTGTCCGCGTCCATAACATGGACATTATGAGTGGCGTCTGTCTGCTCCAATTGCAAATATGCGTTATAGTGCTCCGTAGCAATGAAAGTCCTGCATCTCGTGGACTTGTTTTGTTCCTGTTGAAACAAATCCAGAGTTTTATGCAATGTGGCATCTACCAAAGCTCTGCACGGCAGGAACCTAACCCCTTTCAGCACGTTGTTGTAACTCTCCGACATGTTCGTGGTCAATGTGCCCCATCTGCGTCCTCCTTTATCTTTTAACTGGGTCCACTTCTCCAAAGAAATTCGAAAAAGGAAATTGTGTGCCTCGGGATTCAATGCCAACAGTCGTTGTTCTGTCTCTCGAAACTTTCGCTCCGACAACTGCGAACCCAATTCCCAACACCAAGTCCGATTTTCTTACTCCTGAAATTAGTCACCACGTTGCTTCGGAGGTGTCGAAGGCAAATTCGGTGATACGCAGCGGGTTCTTGCCAATCTGGTAATGATTCGATGGCACTGAGTAGGCCCGCATCCCTGTCAGAAAGAATGCAGATACGTCTCTGGAAGACTACATGTTGCCGCAGATTCCTAAGGAAAAATGACCAACTGTCCTTGCTTTCTTCATCGACAAGCGCATAGGCGACCGGCAATAACCGCTTATTCGCAGTCTGTGCTACGGCCACAAGCAATTTTCCCTTGTAGGATCCACGCAAATGTGTGCCATCGACGCTAATAACCGGCGGGCACCTTCGTAAAGTTTGAATGGCGGGATCAAACGCCCAAAATACAAATTTAAATTGTTTGTCTCGAAGGTGTCGAGCCATTTCCCCACCCTGCCATTCCCACTCTACAACTGTGGAGGGATTCGTCCTTTGAAGCGCGGCAAAATACCTACACATTACAAAACAATTATTAAATAGATAAACATAGCGACAAACATTAAATAAATATACTATATTTGTAATTAATTTTTGCTTACTGAGGGAGTTCTGCGAAGTTCGATTCCCAAGTGCCATACACACTCTCGATGGCTTTTCTCCTTCCGTGCCATGCCTTCTTGTAGCTGACATCCACTTTCCAACACTGTTTCACATCAGCCTGGATCATGTCGACACCGTACTCCAATTTCTTTCGAATCTTATTACGAATGAGATTTGAAATCATTTGGGCGGTTACATTTCTGTGGTCATTTCTCTCGACCGGTTGCATACAAGTGTGACTATCAGTCCATTCCGTTAGTTCCCACAATTCATGAACCCGTTTGGACTTAGTCACCCGAGCCTTCCACAGACAAGGCGGATCTTCACTAGATCTGCAGACCACTTTGTATGACTTTTGATTCGAATCATTTATCCGAACCTCCCGCAACCTATCGACGTTCCAAGCCATCAGAGCCATTTGGGCTTCTTTCTTGCTCTGAAAAACTATACCCAAACGTATGGTCTCAATGTCGCCATTCCAGCGTGGAATAGCATACTCGTCCGCATCTATCCTGGACGGGTCCCATTCACCCATCTCGCGGTATACGTGCCGACCACCACTAGGAAAGGGGAATTCTTCTTCAATGAACTCGGCTTCACTCTCCTCATTCACCGATCTATCTGATTCGGTTTCTGAGGTCTCGTCTGTGAGATCATCTTCACCGAGTACGAACTCTTCGTCACTTTCTTCCTCGTCCTCATTTGCCCTTTCTCTAATTGGTGAGCTTGTCCCTTCTCCAAAATTACGTAGATGAGAAGTCGACGTGCCCTCATCCATTCCCCCGTAATAAGGAGTAAAATCCTCAAATTGTGTGACCGGTGTAATTGCTTCCAACGATAAATGCAAATACACAACGGACATAGGTTCATATCCATAAATCCACTGAAGAGCACTAGAGTTATCGAGTCTTCCGGCAGTCCACGAACCATCGCGTTGACGAAACATTAAAGTAATCACTTGAATGGTCCAACCTTCTCCAAAACGACAATTCTCATTAATCATCTGTACCAGTTGTTCATATGATATCCTCCCCGTAATTACAAATGAACCATCCGGACTATCCATAAATGAAACAAAATCTCTTAACTGTTCCTTCGCAAATCGCCAATACAAATTAACAAAATACGGACCACAATATGCCATTTATACCTGCTGCAAAAAAAACTTTCAATTCTTCCAAATTACAACAACACATGATGTCTAATACAATACCCAAAAAATTCAATTATTCTTTAAATCCATTTTTACTCCAAAAAAATAAAAAATATTCCCAATCGATTAATCCTCCAAAACCATAATATCCATAATTCAACAATAACATACAACATACAATTCATCTATGTTTCGAATAAATCGAAAATCCTAATTCTAACCCTAAATTCGAAAACCCAACAATAACAAACCCATACACAATTGATAATTTAAAAAAAAAAAAAATTCAATCCTCAATTCAACATACACACATAATCGATAAACAATTAACAATTCCCAATTTCAAACATCACAACATTCAAACATACTATAACAATTACAATCTCCCAACAAATTTAAACAATATCAAAAGTTGAGATAAGCCAATATACCTCGTTCGAATTAATTAACCGGAAATGAGGTTCGTGTTGTTGTTGTCGGTTCACGTACAAGTGACGATTGGATCGAGTTTTTTTTTATTTTTCTTATTTTCCGCAAAGCGCTGCGTGTGGAGGATGAGGATTGGGAGAAAGGTTTGAGAATCGCGCAAATGAATGGAGAAGAAGAAGATAACATTATTTTATATTTAGTTGTAAAACGTATTTCCGGAATACGTTTTAGAAGCATTTAATTGTAAAACATATTTTGTGTATACGTTTTTATATATAAAAAAATAAAACGTATTTTCAGAATACGGTTTTTGAAACCCTAAATCAATTTAGGGGTTATATAAAACGTATTTTCGAAATACGGTTTAAAATTATCATTTTTTATTCTATTTCTTTTTCTTTTAAACGGAACTATTTATTTTAATTTCCAAATATAATTATAAAACGTATTACGAGAATACGTTCTTGTAATTAAATTTAATTTAAAAAACGTATTACGGGAATACGTCCTTTTGATTTTTTTCTACTCCTCTTTTTTTTTTTTGTCCACTTTATTTTTGTCTTTTTGAAATAAATAAACTACTCTTCCATTAATGGTAGAATTCTTCCAAAACTAAACTATTAAATTAACAAACAAATAATAAATAACGATGAAAAAAAAAACCAAAAGCAGGTTGGATCTGCAAAGGTGAACTATAGAAAGATTAATGTAATTTCAAATTTGTTTATATATTATTAAACAACGAAGGCTATGAAGGTTATGGGTGTTCTCGTTTCTTGTGACCGATTATTAAAAGGTAGATGTGGTAATTCTCTCATCACAAGTAGAATAAAAGGCCGAAGGTATGGATGAACATGTAAGAATTAGTACGAAAAATGACTATATTGAAGGACATATTTGTTTTTTTTAAAAAAAAAAAAATTCAAGAAACCCTTTCAGACCAGATCGCTGGTCTCTATGAAGTCAAAACAACATAAACGGAATTTGATAATAGGTGTGGAAACAACAAAGCACCAATACCGGCAAAAATCCAATTTTGGTCCGTTAACTTGTCCACTTTCCAGTTTTGGTCCACTATCTTTCCACGCATCAAAATTGGTCTATTATGTTACCATTTTCATCAGAATTGGTACACTAATCCCGAGGGCCGGATAACCAAATGACGTGGACACGGATTGTAACGACGTGGAAGGATATGATGTTGACGTGGAAGGATAACTATCTGATTTTCTTAATAAGGTTTTACGTGGCATTTTAATATAAAAATACATATAAAAATACATAATTTAGGTAATGTAAAACAAAAACCCGATTTCAAAATCCCTAAATTGAAAATCCCTAAATTTCTTCAAAATGAATCGACGACGGCCTAAATCGGTGTCTGCGACCAAAATGCCACCAGGAGATGAAGATTTGGGAGTGTTTCTGAAGATTGTTCTTGGAATCGATGTTCCTAACTGCAAGATGAAGTTGCGAGCAACCGAAGATGAACATCTACCCCCTCCTAGATACGGTAATTTTTAGATATTTCTGAATTAAGATTTAAGTTTTGTAAACTAGGGTTTACATGTAGTGAATTTCCAAAATTTGGGTTTATGTTTGTAAAATTAGGGTTTAAATGTAGTGAATTTCTAAAATTAGGGTTTAAGTTTTGGTAAAATTTAGGGTTTTCATGTGGTCTCTGTGTTTGAGAATCTTGCACAAAATTTTCATTGTTTTTTTGGTGGTCCTTGTGTTGAAAAATGTTTATTTCTTTACTTTCAGCCGTGAAGAGTAAATTTCTTACTGTTGGTGTTCATTATGGGGGCAATTTTTACATTCGGCCAAATATCTCAACATATATTGGAGGTGAGAGTGTTATTGTAGATTATGTTGACTTTGGGCAAGTTGGTCTTGATGATTTTGTTAGTGTTGCACAGAGGGGAGGGGTTAAAAAGCCCATGAGGTTTTATGCCAGAACAGGTGGTTGGTTTCTTTTATTAAATGATGACATGGATTTGTACAGGATTTGGGATGAGAAAGTGGGTACTTTTAGAGACATTCATATTTATGTGGGTGATATGAAAGGTCAAAGTGGAGGTTCAGTAAATGGTGAAGATAGAGGAGAAGTAGGAGATGGACTGGTTGGTGAGAATGATTGTGGAGTAGGAGATGGACTGGTTGGTGAGAATGATTGTGGAGTAGGAGATGGACTGGTTGGTGAAAAAGTGAATGACAGTGATGGTGAGGGAGATGATGACAGTGATGAGTTGTATGATTCAGAGTATGACAAGAGTGAAGATAGAATAGATGATAGGTTGTTTTCTAAATATGTTGATGGTGAAGCTGAGTGGGGAGGGTCTGAATCTGTGTTTGAAGCTGTGGACAATTATGTTGAAGATGAGGAAGACAGTGATGGTGAAGCGGATGTGGTTTACAGGGACAATTTAGATGGTAAGAACAACTCTGATGAGGAAGATGGTAATTGTGAACCAGAGTTTCCTTCTTTTAATCCAATGGAGTTGTATGATCCCAGCTTTAAAGTGGGAATGGTGTTTACTTCAAAAAAAGAACTGAGGACAGCTATTCATTCTAGAGCAATAAAATGCAAGAGAAATGTTCAAATTGTCAAGAATGATAAGCAGTATATGAGGGCAAAATGTTGTGATAATTTGTGCCCTTGGAAAATTCATGCAGTCAAACTTGTAGGTGAGGCAACATTTCAGATCATTAAGTATATTCATAGGCACACTTGTGCAGGCACAGGGAGAGTTAAAAATTTAAACTCTAGTTGGTTGGCAGGGAAGTATGCCACTGAATGGCAAGATGATCCTAAAAGAAAGGTTAGTGGTTTTAGAAAACATGCAGCCAGAGAGCTTAGGGTGCATATCTCCAACCAACAAGCATATAGATGCAAGTTGAAAGCTATTGCAGATCAGAAGGGAGAACCCCATTTTCAGTATGCATTGTTGTGGGACTACTGTGAGGAAATAAGAAAAACAAATCCGGGGAGTACTGTAGTCTTAGATACTAACCAGTGCAATGGTGAGAACATATTTCAGAGGTTCTACATATGTCTAAATGCACTAAAACAAGGATTTAAGGCTGGCTGTAGACCCTTGGTAGGTGTGGATGGCTGCCATTTAAAAGGGCCTAATAAAGGTATATTACTTACTGCTGTGGGCATTGATCCTAATAATGCTCTTTTTCCCTTGGCATATGCAGTTGTTAATGTGGAGAATAGAGATAATTGGGAATGGTTTTTGATATTGCTTAAGAATGATTTGGAAATCCAGAATCAGCATGAGTGGACATTTATGTCTGATAATGTAATATCCCTATCAGTTATAGCAGTTATTATGAGTTATTGTTCCAAGAAATAAACAATTTCGAGTCCAAGATAGTGAGTGATCGGATCAAAATTAAGTATTTTCAAGGAACAAGCCGCACGAGTCGTGTGAAGCCACACGAGTCGTGTGGAGAGGCACACGAGTCGTGTGGGAGGGAGATGTGATGAAAGTTAGCCTCGGGATTTTGACACGAGTCGTGTGATGAGCCACACGAGTCGTGTGAGGCTACACGAGTCGTGTGACTTAGCCACATGAGTCGTGTGAGTCTGGGAGATGATGAATGATTAAAGAGCAAAAGTGTCGGCAAGCCACACGAGTCGTGTGATAAAGCACACGAGTCGTGTGAGGCCACACGAGTCGTGTGACTCCCCCACACGAGTCGTGTGCCGACAGTCCAATTGGATTATTGAGAATCCGATTGTGACTTTAACCAAAGGCTATTTTTGATGTTTAAATATGTTTTGGATGGATGAATAAGTAAATCATAAGATATTTTAAAGATTATTTAAGTTTAGAAGTTAAATTTTATATTATGATCATTTAATCACTCTATTTGGATGTTTCTCCAATTTGTGCCTATAAATAGAGGCTAAAATCTTAGAGTTTTTACACCAAAATAATTACTAAAGTCATATGAATTTGAGAGAGAGAGTGAGAAGGAGTAACTTTGGAGAATTAAGGACATTAGAGTGAAGAATCAAGTTTTTAACTTCACCTAGAAGGAGGTAATTTACTTATCTTAATGTTTCATATTTGAGTTTATGTTTTTATGATAAGTTTACATGTTTATGAGTGTGTATATCATGATGTAGAAGTTGAAGTTCATAATTGATAAAATGAGTTAAAGATGTTAAAGATCAATTATGTGATATATGTGCTTAAAGTAATGAGATGTTGATTTGCATGAGATTTTCATGAAGATATGAATATGCTGGAAAAGTATGATTTAGATGAGTAATTCTTATGTAAAAGAAGAGTACATGAGAACAAGAATTAAGTTATTTGGTATAGTATAAATTAAGTTATGAATTTTTGAAGATGAACATGCAATATGAAGTTTATGTTCACTATGACTTTAAATTCTCATAACTTGATGAATATGAATGATAAAATTATGAAATTTTGAGGACATGTCTAATTAGAAGTTGAGATTATGACTGTTAAGTTTCATAATTTAAAGATGAGAAATGAATGAGATATGAAAATGAGAAGGCATATATGTGAAGATGAGTATATATATATATATGCAAGAATATTCATGAGATGTTCAAGATGTTAAAATGAGATTTTTATTATCATATGAGTGATGAGTAAATTGATGAAGTTTTGGTTTAATATGTTGATTATATAATATTATAAAGATTATATTAAGTATGGCATATTAATATTTTGATTCGATGTGATGTTTACAAGATGAATATGATTGAGTTTATTTTCACTTTAAAGATGTAAAAGTGAAAAATAAGTATGAGTAAATATGAATGATTTGGAGAATGTGATATATGAGGAGTTAAGTACTTGATTGAGTTAAAGATCAAGATGAATTTATATTATCTTGATAATGTTTAAATATTTAATCAAGTATAAATGTGAAGTATAGTTATTTTCACATTTGAGTTAAAATATGATAAGTTTAATATCATATTGATGTTTATGAAAACATGATTTATAAGGTTAAGTAATTGACCTTGAAGAAAAGTTAACTTGAGAAAGAGCATGTTGATGAATTTCTATAAGATTGGATGAGTTAAGAATCCTAAAATCTTATTGAGTATATGAGCATAGTACTTAGTATATTTGTTTATATTTGATGTAACTTGCAGATTTCGTTACAGCACAGCACTTATCGATTTACAAATGATTTCAAAGACAAAAAGGTGGGGACCCTGAACGGGTATCACATTGAGTACGATATCGATAGAGATGGGATGAGGAGACCATGAGTTGTCTCGGAGTATATCCTAAGTATTGATTATACGCTTGGGAAGAAGGCCGATGAGTTGCCTTACGAGTATTTCCTAAGTTCTAATGGAGGCCGTTGAGTTGCCTTGAGAAATATCTATTAGAGTGTGCACATGTACTTAATCAAGAAGAGAAAGAGAGAAGTTTGAGTTTATGTACCAGAATAGATTTCTGGTTACCGATCAGATATCGGTATATGATGATCTTTATCGTTACTCACCCCCATGAGTTTTAGTTTCAGGTAACAGGTCGAAGAGGAGGTGTGAGTGGAGCAGTGTTGGTGTGGATCGTGAATTCAGATGAAGATAAGCTTTGATACGGACATTTAAAGCAGTCTGTATAATTAACTACGTTTGGAAAGTATACTTTGATTTATTTATCCGCTACGCAATATGATGATTGAACTTGTATTTTTAAATGAATTTATTATTTGAAGTTTTTATTAATTGAGAAGGATGAATATGGTTAAATGCAAGTTTAAAGGAAATCTATTTAATTATGTCTAAAAGAGTTATTAGACAAGAGTTCAAAGATAAATGGATTTTCAAGATGTAAGATTTAGTAGCATTCCGAACTGGTCGCAAAAAATTTCGAAAGAGATATAAGTATTTTCGAAGTAAAAGTTGCGAAAAATTTACTCTGATAAGCGGGGTGTTACAGATAAACAGAAAGGCTTAATACAAGCATTCCAGAACATTTTACCTAACTGTGATCATCGATTTTGTGTTAGACATTTGCTTGAGAATTTCAGAAATGCAGGGTTCAGAGGATTAGCATTGAAAAATGCTGTGTGGAGGTGTGCCACAGCCACAACAATAAATGATTTCAGCAAGAAAATGCAATATCTGAAGGATTTGGATGAGGAAGCTTACAAGTGGTTGGCTGGTAAACCACCCACTGAATGGAGTAGGTCTCATTTCAGTGAATTCCCAAGGTGTGATATCCTACTCAATAATGGATGTGAGACCTTCAACTGTAACATTCTTGAGGCCAGGGAGGAACCAATTTTGACTATGCTGGAATGGATCATGAAGTACTTAATGAAAAGAATGCAAGAAAATAGGGACAAGGCTGCAAAGAAGTGGAAATTTCCCTTGTGCCCTAAGATTAAGCAGATCATTGATAAACAAATTGATAACTTGGTGGAATGCATTCCACTGAAAGCTGATGACTTCAATTTCCAGGTTGACTGTGGCAATGGAGAGCAGTATAAAGTTGATATGAGGGCACACACTTGTGGGTGTAGAAAGTGGCAACTAAGTGGAATTCCTTGCCTTCATGCACTAAGTGTTGTGCACCTGCAAAGTTGGGCAGTTGAAGAATTTACTCACTCTTGCTACAAGGTTGACACTTACAAAAGAGTATATGAACCAGTAGTCATGCCTATCAATGGTAGGAAAGAGTGGGCTCCTACTGGTTTCATACCACCTTTGCCCCCTAATGAAGGTAGGACACCTGGCAGGCCAAGTATGGCTAGAAGAAGGGAGCCAGATGAGCCCAAAACTAGAAAAAGGCCAAGAGGGAAGGTAAGGGTTGTGACCAAAGAGCAGACTATCAGAAGGCAACAAGTGACCTGTAAGTGCTCATATTGCCATGTGGAAGGCCACAACAAGAAGGGGTGTCCATTATTGAAGGTTGTAAACCCAAACTCAAGTCAGAGTGTGAATAACTCAAAGGTACTATGTACTATGTACTCAGTTAATGTTCAATTTATGGATAGCTAATCAGTTTTACTTCTTACTTATTTTATCCAAATTATACAGGAGGTAAGAAGAGAGGACAAAGGTGTACCTGCTCCAGCAATTGGTATATCAAATCAAGAAGCCTCACAGGTACTGTGTGCATTTAATGTGATAGCTAATAAGTTGCACTTCTCACTTATTTGACAATTGTAAATAAATTTACAGGTAACAAGAGAGGACAAAGGAGAACCTGCTCCAGCAATTGGAATATCAACTAAAGAAGCCTCACAGGTACTATGTATTCAGTTGATGTTCAATTATGCATTTAATTTAAAAGCTAATCAATTATGCATCAAGGGTGAGTTGTATGTATTGATTTATGAATTTTGAATCCATGTATACAAGTGAATTTTACAAGACCAACCTTGAGTAATGTCAAGCATGCAAATAACCCTCAGAACCCAATCTTGAAACAATACAAGCAACCACCTACGGTTTTTCAACAATTCCAACAGACAGTGCCAAGTAAAGGTGTCAACTTTAGAGGACCAGCACCTATTGTTGGTAACCATTTCATCCCTAGTCAAGAGAGCTGCATATCAGGGAGAGAAACAAGGATGAAAGAAATATTTGCAGAAGCTGGCCAGAAGTATACTTCCATAAGCAGCTTAGTGGGTTGCATGAATTCAGTGAAAGATAATGTCAAGAAGAAAGGCAATGGTCCAAAGTGAATGTAGTTACTCTTTTGTTTGTTATGATGGCTGAATTTGTTGATCTGAATTTTTGTTATTTTTGGTGGTCGAACAATTTAAGCTCTCTGGCTGCATTTTTAGAACTAATTTTGGTGTTTTTGGTGCACTTTAGTTGTTGGAGTTGTTGAACATGATTGGCTTTGTTTTTGGTGCTTTTGGTCTAGTGCATTAGTGGAAACTTTTGAACAGGATATGGATGCTATTCTGTTGCTTTTGTTTGTGGAATTTCAATGGAATTTGTTTCTTTTACTTTTGGTGTACTTATGTTTTGTGGTAATTGACAGGTTTTAACTGTAAAAAACAAATCAATGGAACTCAAGCTCACTATAATTCATAATCAGATCCAGATAAGCCAAAACAATATAGCATAGCATAACAAACGCACTACAGATTTTCACAATCTCATTACAACAACAACAATAAAACAGATCAAATTCAGAATCAGATTTAGAATCTGATTAACATCAGATAAGCCAAAACACAAAACAACTGAGTTTCACAATCTAATTACTACAACACCAATAAAACCGATAAACCAAGTGATAACTACAATAAATTCCAGACATCTTAATTTCTTCATAGTAGATGATAAATGAGCATTGTTCACTTTCTTCAAGGACTGCAACTCTGCTTCAAGAACCACAAGCTTCCTCTGAAGCTCCACCATCTTCCTCTGAAGCTCCGCCATTGATGTTTTTTGCTCTTCAATCAGAGAAAACTTCCGCTCCAATTCCAAGATTGAATCCGACGAAACTTGCGATTGGGTGGTTGATTGATTTTCACACCATCTGAAGAATGTGCAACCACCATTATTCCAGTTCTTACAGCCGTAGAACTTCTTCCCAGGATTTGAGGACGTCTTCGAAGTGAGGATTGTAGTTCTTTCAAGGCATTTGCAGTACACGATGGGTTGAGAAGATTGTGAGTGAGAAGAAGAAGACATTATCGTCGAAATTGAGTGAGAAGAAGAGAGAATTAGGGTTACGGGGAGAGAATTGAGGGAAAAAGAGGGAAAATGCCATATATATGCCACATTTATGCCATGTCGTTCCGATCCGTCTTCCAGCGTGGAAAGAAAGTCCACGTCGTTACAATCCGTGTCCACGTCATTTGGTTATCCGGCCCTCGGGATTAATGTACCAATTCTGATGAAAATGGTAACATAATAGACCAATTTTGATGCGTGGAAAGATAGTGGACCAAAACTGGAAAGTGGACAAGTTGACGGACCAAAATTGGATTTTTGTCCACCAATATAACAATTCTCTCTCAAACAACATAAAAACAACTTTCAATTAACAATATAATATTACGGAATTAAATTTTTAGCAAATATTAAAATAAAATAAAATACCATTACAATAATTGAACGAGGTAAAGATAATTTTTTTTTCAAACAATTAAACCTTCATTCAAGTAATCAACCAAAGAGTACAAATTCATCACCCACTTATACCGTACAAATTCATCACCACCATAAGTGGTAACAAGTACAATAGGCACCTATGATTTACAGAGAATACACATCTAAAGAATTAAACAGAACACAGTGAAAGGGCCGGACCAAGAATAGAGAAAAGAATCACAGTTAAAAATTCCAAACTACAATCTCAATTTCGTCGTCTTTTCACATCCTTTCCCATTAGAAATCCGATCCAAACCCCAAAAAGTTAACAAAATTTTCAATCTGAGTTCCGTCGTCTTTTCACTTCCACCGTGAGCCCAACGTCTTCCTGGAGATAAACGGAGTATGGTAAATTTTGAGAAATTAAGGCACAAAAATACACAAACAGAGTATGGTAAATCGAAATTAAAATTAAAAAAAAAAAACAATTACTTACATAAATCATAAAATTTGAGAAATTAAGCCACAAAAATACACAAATAGTATGGTAAACCGAAATTAGGGAAGAAAAAAATTTGGGCGAAATTAGAGGAAAATTTACCGGGATGACGAGTTCACCAATCACCACGCGAAAAGGTGAGAAGAAAAAAAAAAGAGAGAGAGGAACAAGAAGAAACGCAACCAGGAGATAGAAGAAAGAAAAGGAGAAAAAAGTGGGATAATATCAAAAGACGTGTTGGTTACAAAAATTAAAATTTAAATTAAAAATAAAACAGTCAGAATTTTGAAAACCTAGAAATTGTCCACAAAAAAGATGTAATTAGAAACAAAAGAAGTAATTATGACTAATTAATAAGTTGAAATAATTATGTAAACTGTCTAAACAAATAGATAAGGAGTGTCATTAATTCGTTAACATATAATGAATTCAAGCCCAACTAAGATTATATAATAAGCCCAATGGACCAACCAGTCACTCTACATACTCTAAAGTCTCACTATTGAAAATAAATAGGGAAATTTTCACTTATCCTCCATGAAATTGAAATATTGCAAATCTACCATCCATAAACAAATAATTGTGTATCTACCTAATTGTCAAGAATTAACTATATCTATGTCTAAAATTCAGTTACCTAAAAAGTAGACTCCATCAATTTTCTGTTACCATGATTTCCGCCAAAGAGAAAAAAAAGAAAGAACGTGATTTCTGTTACCATGGTATCCTACATCAAATATATCTGCTCGAGTTTCTGTTGGGTATATATTTAATATATATACATAAAATATACCATAAAAAAATGTAGATGTATGTATAGTATATATTTTTCATGATTTTACTAAATGTAAATCAATCATATACCGAAATATACTAAATAAAACATTGAATGAACAGTATATTTTGAGTTTATATTTAGTATATATTTAGTATATACTGCTTATACATACAACATATACTGAACATATGCTCCATATAAACCAAATAAGCCCAAATCGTTCAGAATAAAACCCTCATTCACGTCTCTCATCGCAAAATCTTCATCTTCTCCAAAGATTCTCGAGCAGCAGAGTAGAGAAAAATTCCTTCGCAACTTTCTTCTTCGCGTGCGTCCTTCGCCATCAATCGTCTTCATCCTTCTCCACTGACGCGCGACTCCTCTCAACAAGTAGCAAATCTCGTTCCTCATCTTTCTCAATCGATGAGATAGCAGCAGTAGAGCGAGTAGCAGGTTCCGTCCGCCGTCGCACCTGAGGTCACGTCACCCTCCGTCGGCGAACTAGCAATCCACGCCGGGAGTCAAGCTGTGCCGGAGATCCCACGCCTGCTGTCGTACGCCTATCGAGAAGGAGCCGTGGCGAGCAACGAGTTCCGTCGATCCTCCTCGGCCGCTCGACTTCGTCCAGCGAGTAGCAATCCTGCCTGATCTGATTGGTAGATCAGACCTTCGCCGTCGCGCCTGTTTTGGTTATCGGCCGCCGGCGACAAGAAGCAGCAAACAACAACTCGGGCCAGTGAAAGATCCGAAAAGGGCTCCTCCTCCTCTGAACAGATCTGAAAAATTCGAGGAGGGTTTTTTTGCAGAGAAGTGGGTGAAGGTGGGTGAAGGTGGACCGTGGTTTTGGAGAGACAATGAGAGAGAGAGACTGTTTATCAATTGCATTTAATTTGCCCCGTTATTAACATTCAGAATCTTAGGTATAAGTGCAAATATTTTGGGCTTGTTTTGTAATTTTATAAATAAAATTATAATGAGTGTATAAGTGTAATATATTTCATAACTGATAGTAAGGGATGTAAATTCCTCGATAAGGGAAGATAAAGAATAGGAATGTTTGGGCCACTGGGTGTTTAAAAAGGAAACGACTTCATTTCCTGATAAAAGAAAGAAAAAGAAAGGTCCGCACAGAGGCTGGAAAAACAGAGGTTGCGATATGGGAACAGGCTGGGCAAAAATTCAACCGAATTCGATGACGATATTTCCAACGGCAAATCAGGTTCGGGAAATTCACACATTTTCGAAAAATACAAATTTATCAGAGTTCGAAATACATATAAAAACCGGGTTCTCGGGCTCCGGCTCGAACGGGACATATAAACGAACGATTGTACATACAGAGCTTTACATAGGCAGATGACGCGCTCAAGCTCCATCACATTGTTCACTGTTCGCTCGACGTCGTCGAAGAAAGTGGTCAGTTAATTTGTTAGATCTTGTGTAAGACTTTGCCTGTTGAATGAAAGCCTAATTCTCGATTTGATTCAGACATGCATTACTATTCTATTTGTTGCAGCGATGAGTATTGTAGTTTCTGAATTGATCTAAACAATGATTTAAGTTTTTCTAAGTTGATGATATTTCATATAGTATTCAGCAAAATAGGAAATTTTGCAGCTACACCTGATATTATGTCTGAATAGGTTTTTCTTTTGTGTTCATATAAGTGAACAGCCCGAAAAAATCTGGCCCGACAATAAACTAGGCGTTTCTTGGTTTGCTATATCCAACTGAAAACTACAAAGTGTGAGTAGAAAGAATCTCCTTTTCTATGATTATGGTTGGAAATAGGACATCCGATTACTTCGTCTTGCTCATCCTAGCTAAAGCTCGTGATGTAATGTTTCTCCAGGTAAGGTTACTTGACCATTACCAAGGTGAAGTTATATTGGTGACAACAGACCTTGATGTACGAGATGTAGACGTGAGAAATGTAAGTTATACTGTTTACCACCTTTTTAACGTTTACTCTATAGAACTGGAGAACACATTTGAGCATAATGTGTGTCAATACGTTAGTCAATAGGTCCTGTTTTGTTGCATTCGTGCCCGAAGCAACTCTAACTTGAGGGTAACAATTTCACTTGTTATGCCCAAATCGGCTGAACTAACCTGTTTATTTTGAATGAGAATTCTAAAGCTAAAATCACAGGATCTTTGGAGTTGGAGTCACTTGAAATTGTGAACGATATGTTGTTTTACTTAAATAATCTTGTTTCTGTTGAGTATATTCTGGTTTCTATTGATACTCAGATACCGAACATTTACATGTTCTAGTGTAATGTAAAATTACTGCCGTAAGTAAAGTCCCCTTGATAGAGTTTATTATTGTCCAATATAAGACATCTACAACAACAACAACAACATACCTAGTATATTCCCAACAGGTTGGGGTCTGGGGGGTCAATTGTACGCAGACCTTACCCTTGTAATTATATAAGGAGGCTGTTTCCGTAGCGACCCAAGGTGTATTGCGCCGTTTGATATATATATTTTTTTTTTCTCGAAACTTCGCTAACTAATAGAAGAAGCACTAGAATTTAATTTAGCCATTTTGATCTAGTCCATTATTAGCACTATGTCAGGAGAATTGTCAACAATGACTCTTCCAACTCCATTTGCAATGGACAACGTCCAGTATATGACATCTGATTTATTTTTTTTCTGCTCTGTACATATCTGCGGAAAATGGTGCAGTTTTTCAGGAAGTTCCACGCCGCCTATGTTGATGCAGTAATGAACCCATTTCACATTCCGGGTAAAAAGATCATATCCAAAATCTTTGCTGAAAGAGTCAGTTCGATGGTTAAGTCCTTTGGGTTGAATCCAACAAGCTGAATGCTGAAAGCACCATTGCCATTCACTCTCTCGACTAAAGTTTTTCATTTTCTTTACTCTGTTTTTTTGAAAATACATTGTAACTTCATTACGACTATCTTGATATGGAGTTTATACAGTCAAGGCTCCGTTCTTTTCAATGTTCTCTGTAAGATTGTGGAGTGTTCATGTGTTTACTCTTTTTAGCAGAAATATTGGGATTTAGACAATCGATTTATTCTGGAATAGCAAGTGAATGGTTTACACCAAGATTTGGATTCGATGTTGGTTGCTACACTGTATCAAACATTATCGAGGAAGTTACCTGAAAAATTGTAGTAGTCCACCCAAGAGTGAATTTTGAGGTTAAGCATGAACAAAAGCTAATCAAGCCTTGACACCAAATTCTATCATTTTCTGTTTATGGCATTTGATTTGAGAGACGATAGAAAACGAGTCAAAAAAACCAGGCCAAAATGTGGTCGTGTTGGTTTGCATACAACACTATGCTTGAGCAAGAGCATTTTTCCACCATAAAACTATGCATAAAACCATTTCAAGTTTTGAAATCTTTCGTTGTAGAGCACGTGCATTTTTCCAGCCTAAAACTATGCATAAAACTATGAAATCTTTCGGGCACCAACGTAGAGCAAAACTGAAAACGTGCATAAGCTCCAAACTCCAAATCTTATGAGTTCATAGCAACATAATGTCGTGCTCCAAAATCCAAATACTCGAGTCTTTGACAACGAAAAAAAAAAATCCGCCAACCATAACTAAGATTATCATAATCGCCATCAAAATCCATCTTCGTCTTCCTCAGCTATAACCTTAGCGAGCTCCTGCTCCTCCTGTTGCTGCCTTTCCCTCCTCTTCTCCGCACTCTCCTTCTCCTTGTGCGAGTTAGGCGGGAACCTCAGTGCCCGAATGGCCTCATTATGCATGTTCAAACAAAAGGCAATTCTTGAATTTAACACAGCCTGAGGCTTGTTTGTCGAGGTGCCCGAATGGCCTCATTATGCATGTTCAAACAAAAGGCAATTCTTGAATTTAACACAGCCTGAGGCTTGTTTGTCGAGTAAACGTCACCCGTTTCCTTTGAAACCATCGACCCGCTGGCCCGATTCAGCCTGGCATCAATGGCCCCGTCTCGAATTGCCTTTGACACGATGCACTGAGCATCTGCAACGGGGCTTGGTGAGTCGAGCCGCAGCTTTGCAGCAATATCGGTGAGTGAGATGCGTGAGTATGAGATGCTGATGTTGCCAAGTCCCGTTCGGATAACGTCGTGCCGCAGCCGAACGATCAAGTTGTTCGTACGGTCAGCCGTAAAAGTGTTCGTGTATTTGTCGGCTATCTTCTTGAGAAGCTCGAGATCTCCAACCCAGACAGCCTGAAGGCCCCCACAAAGAAAACACGTGAATGCCGAATTTGGGGGCAATTTTGATTCCCGTGATCTTTTTTTTTTTTGGGCAANACGGCATGTAAATAGACTTAAGTCTTAGATGACATGGACAAAAATAAAAAAAAAAAAGTAATGAAATTAACTCCAATGCAAAGAGACTATGTCTCTCTTTGGGTCTAAAATAGACTCAAGGGTATGACGGGTCTCATTTTCTTGCTGCCACGTCAGCCGGACCTAGTCTAATTGCATTTGCATTGGAGTATATATTTTTCTAGATTGGGTCTATTTCCTACGTGGCCTAGATATTTTCTTGAAAGAACTCAAAGCATTGTGGATTAACACAATTGCAATTTTAGTCCCAAAGTTCCAGCTTTTCGACTTTAGGTCCTGTTGATTTAATATTTTGCTGCAATTTCAGTCATTTCATTTGAGGACTAAAATTGCAACAAAATTTTAAATTACAGGTTAGATGTAATTTTAAATTGCTATTGGGACTAAAATTGCTATGACGTTAGACCATTAGGACTAAAAAAGCAATTTAACCTTTTTTATTTTTCTTTCTTTTCTTATATTGAAAACAAAGGTGTAAAGGACTCACATTTGTAAGCTCAAAATACGGCCAGAGGGCCTTTTCCATCCCTTTCTGCATAAAAACGGTTCTCTCTGGAATTTAATTCTCCAAGCAGTAATCGGACAATAACGGCCCACTTGTTGCATTGGATTCGAAAACCGAGAGCCGAAGCAGGTGCTTTCCGGGCAGCTTGAAGAAGGAACTCTTTAGAATCAGTTTACTCTAGCTGAATTGTTCGGATTTTACCCAGGTAAAAGAGGTATCAACAGAGCTAAAAGGGGCACAGACAGACATGATGAGAGCAGTGAGATCTCAATGACATTAACTTTAATAACAAGTCTCGACCTGAATAATACATGAAATACCTCAAAATGTAAACTGTAAAGGTAATATCATTCAAAGCTTGGAAGGAAAAAAAAAAAAACATCTCATAGCAGTAAAGTGGCACATATTTCCCTTTTCTTCAACAAAGTACAAATGATGTTTTTCATACTAAAAATTATTTCTTTCTGTATCATTTGATCAAGATGACATCAGATTAGCATTTTACACTAATAAGTGAATAATTTAACATCAAAGAATTCCAATACTGCCATTTGAATCCTTCTCCATCAGTAATCTCCGTACATACGTAAAAAACCTACGGTGTATGTGTTACTCCAGTCTTCTTTTTTTCCACATCAATTTACATAATCTATTTTAGGTATTTGCCTAGTCAAATGACTGTTGATAGATAAACTAATTATACTTTATAATCAAACATGTTAAACATGTAATGTAATGCAATGAGAATGAAGTACATAATCTTAGCAGTGTGACTTGCCTGCTGATTCGAGTGAGCTTCAAAACGAGGAGCCTTTGATCTCAATTTCTCTGCTTGATCATATAAGTTGTAATGGAGGTAATTTCTCAACAACAGATTCAGAAGAGTTTCCTGAATAATAATATAATAATGCTACAGATCACGACAAGACCATTACAAAGCAAATAAATGGATTGTGTGCAGTCACAAACAAACCTGCCCCAACTCATCATGACGTAAAGTCGCTGTCCGGTGCAAAGAAAGTAAAGTTCTGCAAACATATGACAGTTTTTTGTTACATACAACATCTTTATTTCCAAAAAAAAAAAAAACAAAAACAAAATTATCACTCCATTCCTGCATATATAAGTTGAATCAGAAATTCTGATATCATGGGTGCTAAAGCAATTCAAACTAACAGAATTACGCATACCCTCGTATTTCAGCTAGATCCCCAGTCAGTTCATAGCTCAGAGAATAATAAGAGTACAGCCTCGATGCCAGTACATCTATGGTTCTCCTGTTGAGGTTCTTCACACGTGCAATACTTGCTGAGGAACAAGCCTTTGCCTGAGAGTAAAGAGAGAATCATCAAAAGCTGTTAAAACTTAAAATAACATATGCCTTGGTTTCACCTCGAAACACATAACTCACCTCATTGTATCTCTTTTGGTCAATCAAAAATATTAGCACAAGCAAATAGCAATAGATCTCAAGCTCTGGTAAGGCATGCTTCGTATGAGCTTCAGTATCCACCTCCATATCATGCTCATCACCCGGTAACCATCAGTAATTTAATAAGAGAAGTTATACATTAGTGTATGTAGGTAGCTCTCTATGCGTAACATCACCCTCAAGTTGCACTTCCAAATTATCTTAGTTATAATTTTATACGCGGCTAGTCGTATACAATTTGGTTTTAAAAAGATTGAAAAAAATAGAGGATGGGAAAAAACAATATTTTTCCATAGAACAGTAAAAAAGTGGAAATAAGGGAGAAATAGTCACCTACATAGCAACTGTAACTGGAGGTGACAATATCATGAGTTAAAACTTAAAACCAATTTCCAAATGCCCATTTTTCATCCAAAGAAATACGGATAAGTATGATAGACCACATAGAAAATTCTCATAAATTAGATTGCTACATCAAGATAGTTGCTCAGTTCATACCTTAGGAACATACGAAGACAAGCGAATGCGCCTCAGAACCAGTCACGAGTGCAAAGTTGAGAAATTCAGAAAGCACAGAAGCATTAAGCTTCGTTCTCATTTGAATTGTCCATCGAATTGCCGTAATGATCCTCCTAACCTCTCGGGTGTAAGCTCCCCTCTCAATCAGTGCGGCAATGTCTTTCAAATCTAATACGAACAATAAAATGAAATAGAAGATTGAAACTTCAATTTCTAACCCTTTTACAATGCAGAGGAAATCAGGTAAAATGGATATTCATAGGAAACTAAATTTAGATGAAACAGATCACCTAAATGGGCCTAACCAGACCATTTTTTACTCTAATGTAGCTAATGCTTCTCAAAACTACAGGAACTACATAACCACATTTTGATAAATTTCTTAAAAAAAAAAAAAAAAAAAAAAANAAGAATTAAAAAAAAAAAAAAAAAAAAAATCTAAGCTCCAAATTCTACAACTCTACTCACGTTGAATGGTGGATGGCGAAGAGTCGGAAATGGAGTTGGTCGTGGCAGGCTGCTGCTCCTTCATCTCCACGTCCTGAGCCATCGTTGCCAAAGCCTGTAAAATAAACGCAAACACGAACGACATATAAAACACGGAAATAAAAACAGGAAACTCCATTTCTTTCTTCTTTTGACGAAAGCTACGAACAGTGATACCATTTTAGCTGAACCCAATTGAGAAAAAGTTATTCTTCTGAGAAGATTAGATCCCATTTATGGTAAAAGCTAGGTAGGTGCGATTACTTTCTTCCGCTGCACGTCAACAAAAATGCATTTTTTTTTTCGGAAAGTTCAGTAGCATGTGCGCGATTAGAAAGATAAAGAGGGAACATGAGCCAAGAACCTGAAATTCGATTATTTTATCTGGGGTTTTAAAGAAATAAGCCCTGGAATTGAAGGGCTTGTTTAATTTGGGGATTTATTCTCCAAGAAAGCTGTAGAGCGAGCAGGTTACATTAGACTGAGCTGCAGAGCTGCTCAATGAGTTGTCTCATGACGAAGAGACGATTGGGGCAATATTGTCATTCAGTAAATTTTGAGAGATATCTTTGAAATATCTTTATAAAATGTTTTTTATAATCACATTAAAGTTTTCTTAATAAAGGTTAAGAAATGAAAGAAAAAATATTATAAACTCAAAGAATATGTCTATATATCTTTTTTTTTTTCAAATACGCTTATTTTTTATAGATTTGTTATTAAATATATTTTATTTCTCAACTATACTTACCAAATTATTTCAATAATTTATTTAAATATAATTCACAGCAAAGTACCAAATTTAAAATATATCAATAAAGATAAGTTGATATTTGGATATCGAGATATTTAAAGAAATGAGTCGCTTGTGAGTTTTTCTCACCTAATTTATCTAGCTCAAGTTCATTTAAGTGAACTTGGCTCGTTAAGACTCGAGCTTAATTTTTTAATATTAACAAACGAGTCGAGATCGAATTGTTTATCGGTTCATTTTATTAACTAGGCGAATTGGCTTGATAAAAAATTGAACTTCAATATCATAAACTGGAGATTAGTTCAGTTCGACTTAATTATACACAGCAATATTTACAAAGTATAGCCTAAAAAAGAAAGAGAATATGTGCAAACCAAACAAAAAAAAGGGAAAAAATCTTTTTCACCCCAATACAAAAATACATTATGCTTGGATATAAAAAATTTTGGATTTGTTTGAATTTTTTTGTTTGGTTTAGTTAATTTGAAAAAGGTGGTATGGTTAGTTGTTAGTGGGTATATTAAAAAAATATTTAAAATAAAATAATTAATGTTGATTTGATGTAAAAGTATGAGAGAGGTGATTTGAAGTGATAGTTAGTTAAAATTATGTGAGTGGATGAATAGTGAAAAAAGGTTGATGTGATGTGTAAGAATGATTGGTTGATATTATTTAATTACATTAATAATATTAATGATAGTTAGGTTGAGTTAAAGTTGAGTTAATAAAAGTGGTTAAGTTAAAAATGTTTGGATTTTTTGGATAAGTTTTGTATCCAAGCATCCTCTAAGTTTTTCACACCGCCCACTAACAAATCTAACTTTTTCACCCCGAGAAATGCGAAGGTTATGCGAATGGACTACATAACTGTCGCATATCAATTGCATAATTGTCTCGTATTCATCGCGCCATGCCTTCGCACTTTAACTTTTTCCACCCCAGAAAGTGCGAAGGGATGTGCGAATGCCTTCGCACTTTTAACTTTCGCACAATGTCATCGCGCAATTATCGCATATTCACCGCACAATGTCTTTCGCACCTTCTGGGGTGAAATAGTTAACTTATCTATGACGGTGTGAAAAACTTAATACATATCCATAGTGGGTTGAAAAAGACTATTTTCACCAAATGTGTGAAAGACAATGAAACCATGGAATTTTATATTTTTGCCCAAAAATTAGCACGTGTGTAATGCCCCGTTTAATTATGGATTATTTGAGATTTATTTATCATAATTATTATAATTATTATTATTATTATTATTATTTATCTTTATTTGTTGTTGTTATTATTATTAATTGAATGCTAAATATTATTAAATGTCTAAATGATTTATTTGTCAATTTGTAATTAAATGTCAATTTGTCTAAACGTTATTATTATTATTATTAAATTAAAATGTGAGTATTTGTATTATTATTAATATTATTATTTTATATTTTATTTGTGTGTATTATATATATAAATAATATCCGCTTTATTTATTTTATTGTGCGATTTAATTTTCGAGCCGAACCGATCTAATGTTGTGTTTAATCGAGGCTGAGAAAACCGAAACCCGAACTGTAAGGCGAACCGGCCGACCCGCGAGCCCGACGACCCGACCCGGTCCGCCCAGTCCCAGCTAGTGTGTGTGTGTGTGTCTTAGCTAACAAGACAATAACCCCTTTATATTTTTTCTCGCTCGTTCTTATTCTCAAGAGAGAACCCGCTGTTAGTTTTTGATTAATTATTTGTTCCACATCGAATGTATACCAAAGATGTGTAGGATCTTATTAGTATAAATAGGTCCCTTGCCTTTGGGTTACAATTGCATCTTATTCTATGCTCTCCTCTCTTGGTAGGAAATCCTTAATTAAGGAAATCCTAATTTGTGGGTTATTTAATCCTAGTTGTATTTTGTTGGTGAGTTTAGTAAATTTGGCGTTGCGGTTGGCGGTGCCCGAAGACGTAGGCTATTTTCGTCGAACTCCGTTATCAATTTTTGTGTCCTTTTATTTCCCGTCTTTTATTTATTTGTGTTGGCTTATTTTCGTTTGGAGTAGTGCTTGCCATATTTGTTGGAGGGGTATTTTTGTCCGCTGCGTTTGGTGTTCTACCCCCAACAAGTGGTATCAGAGCCGAAGGTTCGCCCTAGGCTAATTCGAAGAGGCGAGCACTGCATTCGAGTTCAAGATGTCCAAGGAGGTCAAGGGCGCATCATCCTCTGCATTCATTCCGGCAAGGACGGTGATGCCGAACGTCAGGCTCCCGGTGGAGATCTTCGATGGGACCGGGCATTTCGGCATGTGGCAAGGCGAGGTGCTGGATTGTCTATTTTAGCAAGGCGTCGACATTGCAATTGAAGAAGATAAGCCAAACGACGTTGAAGAGAAGGATTGGAAGAATATCAACCGCATAGCATGTGGAACAATTCGTTCGTGTTTGTCGAGAGAGCAGAAGTACGCATTCAAGAATGAGAATTCTGCTCACACTTTGTGGAAGACTTTGGAGGAAAAATTTCTGAAGAAAAGCGGCCAGAATAAGCTCCTCATGAAGAAGCGATTGTTCCGATTTGAGTACCGGCATGGCACATCGATGAATGACCACGTCACTGCATTCAATCAATTGGTTGCAGATTTGTTGAATTTGGACGTCACATTCAGCGATGAAGATTTGGCTCTAATGTTGTTATCATCACTTCCGGATGACTTCGAGCACTTGGAGACTACTCTGCTCCATGGGAAAGACGATGTAACTCTTGCGGTGGTCAGTTCTGCTCTGTATAGCTACGAGTTGAGGAAGAAGAACAAACAAGAGACGAAGAATGCAGCAGCAGAAGATGAAGCGTTAGTTGCAAGAGGTCGGTCGAAGAGCCAAAAGAAGAATGGACGAGGAAGATCACATTCCAAGGCCAAGCTTGAAAAAGACGAGTGTGCTTTCTGCCATGAGAAGGGACACTGGAAGAAGGACTGTCCTAAGTTGAAGAAGAAAGGCAAATCTCCTCAAGATGCATATGTTGCTGAGGGTGGAAGTGAAGACTCAGAATTTTCACTTGTGGTTTCACCTTCATCATCTCATCCAGATGAATGAATTTTGGATTCAGGATGCACCTACCATATGTCTCCCATAAGGGAGTGGTTCTTTGATTTTTAAAAGTTCAATGGAGGGGTTGTGTACATGGGTAATGATAATGCTTGTAAGACAACCGGGATAGGTTCAATCCGTTTGAAGAATCGCGATGGTTCCACCAGAGTTTTGACGGATGTTCGGTATATGCCGAGTTTGAAGAAAAATCTCATCTCATTAGGAGCCTTGGAATCCAAAGGCTTGGTAGTGACTTTATGAGATGGAGTTATGAAGGCTACATTCGGTTTGCTCGTGGTGATGAAAGGCATCAGGAGGAATAATTTGTATTACTATGAAGGCGATACAGTTGTTGGGACAGCAACAGTAGCAGATTCCACCAACAAGGAGTCTGAAGCAGTCAAGTTGTGGCATATGCGGTTGGGACAAGCTGGTGAAAAATCCTTGCAGACATTGGCAAAACAAGGACTGTTGAAAGATGTCAAAGTGTGCAAATTAGACTTTTGTGAGCATTGTGTTCGGGGAAAGCAGAAGAGAGTGAAGTTTGGAACAGCTATCCATAATACCGAAGGTGTCTTGGATTATGTTAATTCGGATGTTTGGGGACCTTCTAAGACCCCATCATTAGGCGAAGACGCTATTTTGTCACTTTTATCGATGACTTTTCCAGACGCGTTTGGGTGTACACTATGAAGACAAAGGATGAAGTCCTTGGTGTCTTCATTACATGGAAGACGCAAATTGAGAATCAGACTGGAAGGAAGATCAAGGTCCTACAAACGGACAATGGTGGAGAATATACAAGTGATCCCTTTCAAGAAGTTTGCCAAAAAAATTGCATTGTTAAGCACTTCACTGTTAGCGGACACCACAACAAAATGAGGTGGCGGAGCGCATGAATCGAACATTGGTGGAGAAAGTTCGATGTATGTTGTCCAATGCTGGTTTGGGCAAGGATTACTAGGCTGAGGCTGTAACATACGCGCAACACCTCATAAATCGATTGCCGTCATCTGCAAAAGATGGTAAAACACCGTTGGAGGTATGTGTTAGAGTAGTATGCCCAGCGTTCCAATCGGATTGGACGTATTCTACTTGTAAATACGATCTATTGGAATTATATTGTAAATAAGGCATTACTTTATCTTAAGAGAAAGCATTTATCCTATAATTGCACTTAAGATAAAATCCCTAGATCACTTATGGTTATAAGGTATGGTTGCGCATAGAGATGGTGATCATGGAACATACCTTGAAAGCCGTGATCTTAAATACAGTTCCAAGTCGATGGATGTTTCGAGATGGGATATCGAATAATC